CCAGACAAAGGAACAGTGGTGAATTTTGCTGCTGCTATTGGGTGTCTATCATCAAGGAGCAGTCCAGGAGGACACCTCCATGATATGTTGCACACTACAAGTAATAGGCCTAGATCACCCTGCCTTTCTTGCTGCTGCTGTGGCTGGTTCTGGAGGCCCATGGTAGATAGTGAGATTCCTTGGTACCCTGCCAGCATGAAAGAAATGGTGCACTGTAAACTGGAGCTATCCGGTTGTGACAATAGTTAATGAATTCTAGTTTGGAGAGGCCACCACACACACACAGTACAAGTTCTAATTTTAATGGCGTTTTCCACATGCATATAAGTTATAGATGCCTACCATATGCCTGTTTCCTGCTTGCATTCTCTGGGCACCCTTTACATTGTGCATATACAGCATCTGGAAAATAAACGAAGAATTAAATAATGGGTCTCTCATGGCTGGGGCATAGTAAAAATCATACAGTGAGTTTTTGTAACTTTTTAATACAATAAAGTTAAAAGAGACTGAATTCTGGTCTTACGATACAATCTTTTAAGATTGGTCCCAAGTCAGCAACAAACAATTCATAATCCTTTATTATAGCATTGTCATGATGACTGTAATCAAGTCCCTCAGCTATCTGATGATACCATGGATAGTATGAAACTGGTAAATACTGATATTTTTCTATTTAATATGACATTTGAAGAGTCTATTAAAAGTCTGTTGATAAATTTGGCACCAGCTTCCTGTTTTCAATGTATTAAGGTTCTGGACTTATCGTTATAGCATTATCATTTGAGCTGATCTAGTAAAATAAGAGTTAGTGTCTCTATAGCAAGGGTTTGTGGCCTCCCTCTGATATTGACAGGGAGGCACCACCGCCAGCCCCCTGGTGGGTGAAACCAGGAAGGCCAGGCCTGCCACACGGGAAGCGGAAGGGTGGGACAGGAAGTACAAAAGGAAGGCTGTGCAGCTTAGTTGGGCTGGAGCTGCCAAGGGAGACAGATGTCCCCACCTGCTGCTGGAATGGGAACCCAAAGAGGACCTCTGCTGCACCGAGGACTCACCAGACCTACAAGAGCTGCCAGACACCCCAGACACCGAGGAGCTGCTGGGATTGTCACTGGGGATGTACCCCAGGGAGATGTACCCCAGGATCCAGGTACACCATGAGGGGAGGGAGGAAGTAGCCCAGGGACAAATGATTCTAGTCCGGCTGCATTGCTGCCTGAATCCAGGTCATCATGTTGCGGCTGGATTCCCCGCTGACACAATGGTGGAACCCTCTGCCCCCGTCAGGGCCCTGGGCCTTACCCTCTGCTGCCAGCCCCACCCCTGAGGTGGCAGCCTCCCCACGGTTGCCTGATTTTATGGGAGATTAATAATATTGTTTAGATAATATGGGTTATAGGCTCGCCAATTAATCTGATAAAAGAATTTGCAGAGACCCTTGGGATGTATGACAAGGAAACTTACACTGAGAAGAAAAGGCAGCTCTAAGCCTTTTATTGAGATAAATAGAATAGTAATGGAGTAGTAATCAAATAATCAACCAATTACAAAAGCAATGATATTGTTCTAGCAGTACATGTAGTATTATATGCTATAAAAGATTCTCCATTAATATACTTGCACCCTTCCTTGATAAGCGACAAAGGACTAGCCTTGCCTCTGGCATGTCAAGTGAGTTTGATGGTCAAGGTTCTTCAAGTCTTGAGTGGGAGGTGAAGAACTTAGAAGAAGCTAGAGCTAAAAGCTATAGAAAGACTGGTTTCAGAGTAGCAGCCGTGTTGTCTTCATCATCTGGACCCATGGAAAAGAAGCCCTTGAGGAATTCCACCATGATTTCAATAATTTCCATCCCACCATCAACCTCAGCCTAGATCAATCCACACAAGCGGTCCATTTCCTGGACACTACTGTGCTAATGAGCGATGGTCACATAAATACCACCCTATACCGGAAACCTACTGACCGCTACACTTACCTACATGCCTCCAGCTTCCATCCGGGACACACCACACGATCCATTGTCTACAGCCAAGCTCTAAGATATAACCGCATTTGCTCCAATCCCTCAGATAGAAA